GAGTCCTCCTGTACTGGCCAGGAACTGTCTGGGAAATATTTTCAGGCTTTTCAGCAGCTAATCCCAGACCCTCTCTCCCTGCTGCTGCCCTGCTCTTGTTGTTGTTCTGATCTTGGCTGAGGGAGGATGACGAGATCTCTGGCTGCCCCTCCTGTCTCCCAGCCTGATCTCAACAACCACAGAGAGAAAGAAAGCTCATGTGCTGCACATTCCTCCCTCTGTCTGGGGGGAAGCTGCTCGTGCAGAAGAGACATCCGAGAGACAGAGAGTTTAGAGGTGGTTCATGCAAGCAGGGGGTTTAGGACCACCTCCCTGTGTCTCTGCTCTGGAGGGGGGATCCTTGGACAATCCAGAGAACTTCCTTTTTTTTCCTTCCTCCTTTTCCTCCTCATGAGGCTTGTGGTAGAGCAAAAGCAATTACCTGAGCATTGCTGACAGGAACACATGAGCAGCAGATCAGCACAGCAGCTCTGCTGGGAGAACCCACCAGCTTGTGCACCCTCCTGCTCTCAGGGGGCTGGTGCAGGAAGCCCCCATCTCTCGTGCCCTTTGCACAGTGCAGGGGACACACTGACCCGTGTCCCAGGGCTTTTGCTGGCGGTTGTGCCGCAGGCTGAGCTGGTGTGGCCAGGACACAGCTTGGGGCTGGGACTGTGTGTGTTTGGTTGCTTGAGCACCCAGCCCAGCCACCCCATCGTGGCCAGCAGTGGGCTGAGAGGTGGCACCTCTGCCCTTGCTCGGCAGGTGACGACAGACTGGGACCTGCAGAAGGGCACGGGCTGCACGGAGGGGCACACCGGGACCTCGGCTGCCGCTCCCCTCGCGGCCGGGATGATCGCGCTGATGCTGCAGGTGCGGCCCTGCCTCACCTGGAGGGACGTCCAGCACATCATTGTCTTCACTGCCACCAAGGTCAGTGGCCTTGCCTCCTTCCTTACCTCTCTCCCTCCCACTGCCCTCAGGGTTGCTGCAGAGTAGCCCAGGTCCTGCTGTGCTCATCCTTGTTGATGTCTGCCTGCCCCCCCATAAATCTCTGGGTTGTCTGGCTCCAAGCGAAGGGATTGTGCTTTCCCCTCACCCCTTGTTCCTTCCAGGAATGTGACTAAGGCGTTTTCCTCTGTCATGATAACAAATGGAGGAT